ATATATATATATATATATATATATATATATATATTGTGAAAGTTTTTTTAAAACTGTTATAAACATTTAAGTTCTATTTATGCCATGGCACTTGTTTTCATTAAGCAATATTTCATATACATTTTTAGTTCAAATAACATTCACTGACTCTTTTTACCCTGTTTGACCCTCTTTCAATATTATACTGAACACAGCCTAAAACCTTAACTTTTCATACCAGGCCCTTCATAATGAAATTTCTTTTATACGAAGCATTCTTTTTCAGAATGGCTACCCTAAGTACTGCTTGGAGAAAACTTACTGGTTAATAATAAATAGTTTTGCCAAACCACCTAAAATATCTATTGTACCCAAACAAACCCATTGTTATGATCAACTGAAAAGTTTATATAGCTGCAACTACTCTCAAGTTAATGTGAAAGTTATTTTTTAAACATAATTTCAGACTAACACATTTTTCTCCACTACAGATATCATGTACTGCTTGCTCACTGTTCATGTCTCATCTATTTGTGAATGTGCAGAAATTGTAAGTCCCTTAATATTGGTGAAACTAAGTGTCACCTTAAACTACAAACATATGCGTACATCATTCAATACTGTAAGTAACTAACCTTCCTAGCTCACTATCTACTAATATAATACAGAAACAGGACATCTGATTATCCTCTCAAACTTTAAAATCCTCTCAACAACTAAGTGTGAAACTGAAATTTTGATTAAAAAAAACATGTTATAAACAAAAAACCTTCAACCAAATAATACACGTTCTTCATTTGATTTACATCCATTTTAAGTTTAAGTTAAATTACATACTGTTAACTTTCTCCTGTTTTTTGTATACTATCATTTGTTAAAGAGAATATCACATTCTTGGTGTAATCCCCATTGTGTATTTTTGTACCTTCGGTTTAGATAGCCCAGTTGCTTTGCACCAGTAAACACCAAATCAGTTTACTGAAGATGGAATTATAAAGATTCCAAAACATTTATTAAATGCTTCCCAAGTTAAGATCACATTGTTCTTTACAAATAACATCACCTTTAAGTTTTTTCCTTGAATTGTAATGTATGCAGTAATAATTCATTTAACATAACATTACAGACAACAAGGAACCATTTGGTCCTTCAAATTTCAATGCTGTTCCTTGAAACTCGCTTCCTTAAAATCTACAGTTTTTGAAAAACCATCTGTTTCTCTCTCTTAACTCTTGTAACATACCACCTATACTGTTACCATGGAAATCCATTCCCTAAATTAAACAGGTCCAGATTAACCAACATGCACTCAGTGCATTTTCCCAGGATCCACAGCTCAAAGATGGCCCTGACCACGGAGCAAAAATACCTCAAAGAGATTACAGAAATAGATGTATACAACAATCTCAACTGGCCTAAGTTAACAATACACATGAACATGATTTATGTCTTATAACAACAATGATACTTTCCGAGCCTATCTACGAGTTCAATGAGGTAGGATACAAGGATTTTTTTATTGTATTTGATATTAAGATACTTAAGTAAGAACAAAAACCTTTGCACAGTCAGCAGTGCTTATGTGTTTCCTGCACAGAGAGACTGAAGTATTTTAATGATAATAATAGTGACAATAACATGTGGAGTTGTTCTGATATTTACAAGCTATATGTCATATACTCTGACAATAGGCCAATTTTCCACAGTGCACAGGATCCCAAAATTCTTTAATCGAGCAATGAAGTTAATACCCTCTTATGAAAATAAATCCTAAAACTAAACTGTATTTTCTTGGCCTCAAACTTATGCATCCTGTTGTCTTCAGAATACAGCACAAAGAAACCAGTAAGTTATCCTTCTCGACCCCCCCCCCCCCCGTACCACAGATGCCTAATCAGAGTGATGTGGTAAAAGTGGCATACCACACTACATTTGCAATATTTTTGACCTCAGTTCTTCTTACATTTCCCCTGCCACACACACACACACACACTTTGATAGTTTGGTGCATGCCCCATGTACTAT